CCGGCGCCCGAGCCCGCGGCCGGTATGCTCCCCTCCCCGCCGCCCGGCCTCGCTCCGCCTGGCCCCGACGGGCTCCGCTCTGGTCTCCGCCCCAGAAGCGAGGCCGGCCCCGCACCCGTAGGCCCCTCTCCGCCGGGCCTTTGGCCCCGCCGCAGGCCTCTCCCTTACTTCTTCTGTAATCCCTCCGTTTACTTTGTTATTTTTTGTCGGTCTTGGGACTTGAACTCGGGGCCTGGGCGCGGTCCCTCGGCTCTTCAGCCTTGAGGCGAGCGCTCCACCGTTGAGCCACAGCGCCACTTCCGGTTTTCTGGTGGTTCAATGGAGATGGAGTCTCAGGGGGTCTCCTGCCGGGGCTGGCTTTGAGCCGCGATCCTCAGATCTCAGCCCCCTGAGTAGCTGGGGTGACAGGCGTCCGGCCCCGGCTAAGCCCCTCCTCTTTCATCCCCAGTGGTTAAGGTCATTCTGCCTTAGAACCTTCCTGGCTCTCACCACACAGGTGAGATAAAGTCTCTGGACAAAGGCCGCCGAATGGCCATGTAAACACCCTGTAAGCCAGTCCACCCCCCCCCCCCACCTGCAAAGCCATGTTTTAAGTTCAGGACCCTCTTGTAAGGACTTCCCTATACCAGAACTCCTCACCACACCAAGGGCAGTTCACTACTTGTTATTGGGGGGTTATCTAAGCCTACTCATTGCAAATACTCTTTTCCTTTACCAGCCTTGTCTTATCAAGAACAGGCCGGCTTTTGGATGGGATACATAGATGTGACCACATATGTGCTAGAGAAACAGGAAGATTATGAAAGTGCTTGTTTAAATTTTAATTTTACCGTTTTCGAACACTTTTAGGTACCAGTTCCAACTGGACCAAACTACCGCCACCTCTCTTCAGTAAAGCTGTTATTATGCTTATAGATGCTCTGAGAGATGATTTTGTGTTTGGGTCAAAGGGTGTGAAGTACATGCCTTACACAACTTACCTCATGGAGAAAGGGGCATCTCACAGTTTTGTGGCTAAAGCAGAGCCACCCACAGTTACTATGCCTCGAATCAAGGTAAATTTCACGTGATGTTTTATAAGCTATAGTCTGGCTCTTCTACTTTTACCTCTGGAATTTAGTTTGGCACTGCCATTTTTCTGGATCAGTACAATGCTAAAGTTACCACAGACAAGATGGAGCTGAAATCCATGACTTGTGCACCTTGTGAAACAGCCAGAACTCTTCAGCTAAAGGCTAGCGCTCTACCACTTGAGCCACAGCACCACTTCTGGCTTTTTCTGCTTGTGTGGTACTGAGGAATCGAACCCAGGGCCTCATGCTTACAAGGCAAGCACTCTACCACTTAGCCACCTTCCCAGTCCTTTGGTAATGTTCTTTAGTCATCTGTAGGTTAGTTCCAACCCTGGAAGGAAACATGGTTGTCCAGTCTAGTATCCTGACATTATGCATAAGAAAATAAATGTAGGTAAGTTAAATGGCGTGCCCAAAACTATGGTATGCTAATGATGAAACCAGTATGATCTGGCCTCTAGGAGTTCAGTCTGGTGAGGGTGTTTTTGAAATTAATGGTTCTTTGCCAAAGAATTATGAGTAAATGAAAAAGTGACACTCTGTGGATTGGCTTAAGAAGTACTTATTGAAGGAGGAGGCTACAAGGCTTGATAAGAAATGTACTCATTATCTTGCCCATGTAATTGTAACCACTCTGTACAGTATTTTCACACACAAAAAAATCAAAAAAAAAAAAGAAGTACTTATTGAGTACGTACTGTGTGCTCATATTGCAATGGATGTATATTTGGAGGAAAATGGTATTTCTGCCTTACTGGGGATTTATTCTCCAATGAGGTGTATAACCATTAAAGACAAGTGAGCAAACAAGTAAATTCGCAGTTCTTGTGTGATCACTGCATGACTGAAAAACAGAACACTATACTCAATGCTGGGTGTGGAATCAGTTCAGATTGGGGACAGTAGAGCCTTTCTGAGGGACTTACATGCAATCACAGACTGGCAGCATAAGTAAGAGTGTTGGGGCAGAAATGAGCAGAAACCAATGATTTTCCTCCTGCTTCTTCACTCAGAGGACATTAGATTTGCTGGACTATTAAAGGCTGGAGTGTGGTAGACTTCAGGAATTTGCTCATCCCATGGAACAGATTTGAATCAATGGGAACCCAATGGAGTCTGAATATACAGGTTCATGTTTTCAACACATATCACACAGCCATTTAACTCTGTTACTAACCCATAGTTTCTATGGCACTGCTGTTGTCTTAACTGTCCCTGTCTCCTCCTTTACTCTCTGAAGTGATGAGCCATGTTAATTCAGTTAAGTCTTCATTATTGAGTTGGCTGAGTTTTGCAGAATCTGTCTCCTTTCTCCATTCTCACGCTAGTTGCTGTCCTGGCATTGGTTTATCCTCCAGTACTGGTCAGGCCCTAGTTCTGTGCCTGCCTGTTTCATCTGCCAAATGGTCTCCTGCTTCCCATCTTGCATTTTTTGACCCATGTTCTAACATGAATGTTTCTTCCTGCAGGCATTGATGACAGGGAGCCTCCCTGGCTTTGTTGATGTCATCAGGAACCTCAATTCTCCTGCGTTGCTAGAAGACAATGTGATAAGACAGGCAAAAGCTGCTGGGAAGAGAATAATCTTTTATGGAGATGAAACATGGGTTAAATTATTCCCAAAGCATTTTGTGGAATACGATGGTACAACCTCATTCTTTGTGTCAGATTACACTGAGGTCAGTCTTCAAAATAGAGAAATATGTTATCCTGAGTAGAGCCTAGCTCGGCCATTTCCTGCTGAGAAGCAATGCTGTTATTTGTGTGTCATTAATTTATAGAATAGTATAGAGAGACTGTAGAAGTCATTTATACACATAATCACTTACAAATGGAGTCATTAACCTTGATGCATGTGTGAGTGGAGATCTGCAGGTCCCACAGTGCAAAGCATATTGGCACTCACTGAGGTCACAAGAGATTCAGGAAGGGCACTACAACAGAGTAGCTGTGACAGTGAGGTCTGCAGCTGAGCAGGCTGCTGGCCCTGTGGAAAGACGCTTAACTGACGGTGTCTCCATGACATTCTTTTCAGATATAAAAGAATTTATGAGTGTTGTTTCTTGCCTCAAAGAATACTCTTTTTATAGGATTGCTGGTTAGCCTAACTCTGAACACTGTGCTGTCCTTTGCCCTTTATTACCTGACAGAAACTTAGGCCTGTTTAAGTTGCTCATTTAGTTAAGCCCAGTAGTGATTTCACAGAAAAGAACTTCTTGTCAGAACAGCCCTTACTTATTTAAATTATATATGTGTAATGTCTACAAACTAGAGACATTTGAAAAAATAACCAAAAAACCCCACAAAACACTAGGCATAAAAGCTTAATCTAAGACACACAATGGTGGCTCACACCTGTAATCTTAGCTACTCAGGAAGCTAAGACCTGAAAGATTGTGGTTGAAAGCTAGGCTAGGGAAGAAAAGTCTGCATGTCCAGTTAGCCAGCAGAACAGTGGACTGGAGGTATGGCTCCAGTACCAGAACACCAACCATGAGCATAAAAGGTGAGTGAAACATGAGAGCAGGGGGAAATTGCATAATCTTAACATTATAATGTTCATTTATTTATTGATTTTTAGTAACAGGGTTTTTGCTGTTTGTTTTTCTTGTTTGCTTTGGTTTGGCTATTTCGTATTTTCAGTTCCTGTGAGTCCTGTTATCTAAGATAAACTCCTAGATTCGGCTGTTGCTCTTTCTTGGGAGTAAAGAGCTAGAGAAAATTGGACATGCTATCTATATGTACTTTTCTTCTTCAAAGGTGGATAATAATGTCACAAGGCATTTGGATAGAGTATTAAAAAGAGGAGACTGGGACATCTTAATCCTCCACTACCTGGGACTAGACCATATTGGCCACATTTCTGGGCCCAACAGCCCCCTGATTGGACACAAGCTTAGCGAAATGGACAGCATCCTGATGAAGATTCACACCTCACTACTCTCAAAGGTGAGGCTCACTGGGATGTGTTGCATTGTGACAAGAGTTTCATGTTGTCGATATTTCCTAAGAGGACAGGAACTGCCTGAACGAGCACCACTTCTGCTATCAGTCTGCCAGCCATGCTTCAGCTACAGGTGTTGCCACATGGACTCCCTCCATTTTCCATGCAGCCCAGGGGTACCTTGTAGATTACTGTTCTTAGGCAAACAGTCTCTCCTAGAGTTTATGTTCTTACCAGGAGAGGCAAATAAAAACATAGTAAGCAAGAACTCAAGTATACCGAAAAGCTGTTGGTGCCACAGAAAAACATGGGCAGGAGGAAGCAACACCTCTGTTCCAAAGAGGCCATATTTAGAGCAGTCTTCTTGAAGGACAGGTACAGTGTGAGCAGAGTCCAAGCAGCAAGGGTCAGGTGGAGCCCACCTGGCACAGCAGGTCAGCGGAAGTCTGGGCAGAGAAGCCTTGTACATAACTCAAGTCCCTATCTGAGTACTGTTTTATTCTCAAATAATCCTGCAAGATAGATTCCTATAGTATGTCCATCAACAGATGAGAAAGGCGAGCCTAGAAGACTTGGGCTCAAACTCTCATAGCCTAGAAGTGATAACTCCCCTGTTCTCAGAGTCCAGAACATAACCCTGCTGTGTCTGAACTATGCACAATTCTTTTTCCACCTGTGATAGGGTCTAATCTTAAGATGATGTGCACGCCTCCTTTGCCTTCCAGGAGAGAGAGACTCTCTCACCTAACTTGCTGGTTCTCTGTGGCGACCACGGCATGTCTGAGACAGGGAGCCATGGGGCCTCTTCCACAGAAGAAGTGAGCACACCTCTGCTCTTAATCAGCTCTGCATTTGAGAGAAGACCTGGTAAGAATTGGGAATCACTGGATTTTCAAAACTTAATTTTTTAAAAACCATGCTGCAGAAGCTGTTTGAGTTTGAAATGTTTTGGGCAATGTGAAAATGAAAATTACAGAGAAAAATAAATCAGGATTTGCAGCTTCTTCCCTACCTATTTTTGTCTTCAGAGGTTGCTGTAGGTTTTTGTTGTTGCTGTTGTTGTTATTTTGTTTGTTGTGGGGGGGGGGGAGTTGGCCAGTCCTGGGACTTGAACCCAGGGCCTGGGCACTGTCCCTGAGCCTCTCTGTGCTCACGGATAGCACTCTACCACTTGAGCTTCTGTGCTACCTCTGGCTTTTTCTGTTTATGTGATACTGAGGAATTGAACCCAGGGCATCATGCATGTTAGGCAAGCACTCTACCACTAAGCCACATTCCCAGCCCAGGTTTTTTTGTGTGTGTGTTGTTTTTTTGGGGGGTCTGGTCACGGGGCCTGAACTCTGGGCCTGGGCACTGTCCCTCAGCTCAAGGCTAGCGCTCTACCACTTGAGCCACAGTGCCACTTCCGGCTTTTTTCTTTTTGCTTATGTGGTGCTGAGGAATCGAACCCAGGGCTTCATGCATGCAAGGCAAGCGCTCTACCACTGAGCCACCTTCCCAGCCCCCCAGCCCAGGTTTTAGTCAGTTTGTTTTGTTTTTGGTATCAGTTGCATAAGGGAGGCTTTGTTGTGATACTTCCCTACAGACATACAAAAGCCCTTGATCACACTCACCCCCTGTGTGGCTCCCTGTCCCACTCCCCCCACCTACACAATTTCAGCAGGTCCAGGTTTTTATACATGCATAAAAAAAATACCTCAACCATATCTCCCTTATTTACCCTTTAGGTTGGCCCTCCCCTTCCTGCTGTGCCTCCTCCCTCCTCACAACAGACCCTGCTATACTTACATGTTTTCCATTTTTTAGTGACAATTAATTGTACAAAAACGTTTCATAGCAATACTTCACACACACACACTATAATGTAATTGGATTGGCTCCCTCTGTTGCTCCGTCCTCATTCTTCCTAATTTTGCTAGTCTACAATAGCTTTCAGTGAGGTTCCTCATGCCACCTAAATATAGATGGCAGAGATGTATTCCAGTATTATTTGGCTTCCATCACTCTCTTTCCAGCCCCTCTTTCTCCTCAAACAATCCCACAGTTACAATCATGGGGTATATGTGATGAGTAGGGTGTATCTTTTAGCTCTAGATTCCACAGATGAGTGAACTCATGTCATATTTGGTTTTCTGAGCTTATATTATCTCCCTCAACATGATAATCTCTAGCAGTACAAATACTTTTTTGAAGGAATTTCATTTTAGGTATTTTACTGCCTGAGTATCTGGAATTAGTAAAAGAAAATCTCCAGTAGCTTACAAACATCAGAACTGCATATGTAAACTGAAGAAAATAAACACTAGCTTTTCTCAAGTCCCCACTATTCAAATCCATGTATTGAATAGCAACATCAGCAAGAGTCAGGGATTAAACAAAGCAAGGTTTACTAATACACTATTCATCAGAGCTCAGCACAACCCATACTTGACTCGTTGGCCCATCATCCCTACATAGCTGCCTGCCTCTGGTCCTTTTGGCTTCCTTGTGGGTCTGGGCCTCTGCCTCCTTCCTGCTGACATGCCAACGGCTCACATGCTATACCAGAAATCAGCCTGTTCTAACAGTTGTCTGTTTTGGTTTTTTAAAGAATCCTTGTCTTCTCATTATGCCCATTTTATGAGCCAGGACTATACTCTTTAGTGTATTCAGAGTTGGGTAACCATTGTCATAGTCAGTTTTAGGACATTTTCATCACCTCAAAAAGGAACTTGTTAGCCTTCCCATTCTCCACCTCTAGGCATTTGCCAGTCTGCCTTCTGAGTCTGTAGATGATATTTCATGTAAGTGGAATTTATAGCACACTGGCCTATGTCTGGCACTTTTCAGTTATGATAATGTATTTCCAGGTTCATCCAAGCTACAGCATGTCAATCCTTCATTACTTTTATTGTTTTGTTTTGTTTTTGTTTTTGTTTTTTTTTGGGTCCGGTCATGGGGCCTGAATGCTGGGCATGGGCGCTGTCCCTCAGCTCTTCAGCTCAAGGTTAGCGCTCTACCACTTGAGCCACAGCACCACTTCCGGCTTATTTCTTTTTGCTTATGTGGTGCTGAGGAATCGAACCCAGGGTCTCTGGCATGCAAGGCATGCGCTCTACCACTGAGCCACCTTCCCAGCCCCATTACTTTTATTGTTAAATTATGCTTTATTGTATGAATGGACCACATCATTTACCATTCATTGGTGGAGGGTCAAATAGATTGCTTTAACTGTGAACATCTCTATCCTGTGACAATTTGTGTTTTCTTCTGGTATAATTTTCTCATTCCAGTACAGCTCTGCCCTCACCTCTACCTGTTAGGATTAAATATGTTGCATTTCTATGGGTTATAAGCTGGCAACATAATTAAATACACATGGCTATTGTTTTTTACTTGAGAACGGAACAGGAAAGAGGGGCTTTGCACTGTCTTTTAGAATTAAACAGGTACTGTAATGGTGCTCTTTGACTTTTTGGAAGACCCACATTATTGTCTGGAGTCACTTGTCTCAACCAGAAAACCTTGTTTCATGTTTCTTATAAGGCAAGTTTGCTAGCAACAAATTGTTTTCTTAAAATCAGATGATGTCCTTTTTCCATCTTCTCCATTGAAACAGTTTCACTGGATATAAGATATCTAGTTGACAACCACTTATACTCTACCAAAGGCTCTGCCTTTGGCCTCTGGGTTCTAGTGAGAAGTTACCAGTATCTAATTGTGGCTCCTGTCTCTTGGTCTTTTTTGTTTCACTACAGTGTCTTTTTTTTTTTTCTACAACTTGAAGTTTTAGCCTTTTGTAGATACTTTTTTCATCCAATTTGGGACCTATACCCTCTGTTTTTCTGCTCATCTTTAACTGTGTGATTTCTTTTTTTTTTTTTTTTTTGGTAGTTTCAGTCTGCTCTTGAGTGCCGTTAGTAACTTTTTCACTTCCATTATTTCTTTTTAGTTCTTTCCTGATAGTTTCTTACTCTATTGAAATGCTATTATCTTGTCTCCTTTGCTTAACACATGATTTGATCAGTTCTTTGACACATTTGCTGGGCTACTTTGTCTATTAAATCTGCTGTTTGGATTCTTTTGCAGTAGGTGCTTTGTTTCGTATTTGTCATACCATTTCTTTGAAAACCTCCAGATTTTTGATGAAAACAGAATTTTTATTTAGTTATTTATTTTTTTTTGGGTCCGGTCGTGGGGCCTGAACTCTGGGCCTGGGCGCTGTCCCTCAGCTCTTCAGCTCAAGGCTAGCGCTCTACCACTTGAGCCACAGCGCCACTTCCGGCTTTTATCTTTTTGCTTATGTGGTGCTGAGGAATCAAACCCAGGGCTTCAGGCATGCAAGGCAAGCGCTCTACCACTGAGCCACCTTCCCAGGCCTGAAAACAGAATTTTTTAAGTGATAAAGTGCAGCAAATCTGGACAATAGTCCCTCCTCATCCAGGACTTTTTATTTTTCTATTGACTTGAAGACTGTTGCAGGAAATTCTCTTTTCCTGCAGTGCTGCTGCACGGGCCCAGCCTGAGCATGCACACAGTCTTCAGGGAAGGCCTTGCAAGCTACTGCTTCTGTTCTCTCACCCCACTATGAAATTCCACTAATTGCTAGCTGATTGTTCTCTTGTTTGTGAAAAGAAAACAGGAGCATAGGAAGGTAAGAGATGCTTGTGCCTCCTCTTCAGCAGGCAGACATCACTAACAGTTCAGCTGTAGGGTAGGAGATGCCTGTGTGCCTGGCTTCTACTGCCCTGTGAAGTTTATCCTGGAGGACAAACGTGGTTATTCACAGGCCAAAACAAGAAAAGGTTTTGTGTCTGTGTCTGTGTCTGTGTGTACCAGTCCTGGACTCTGTACTCAAGGCTAGTAGTGCTCCACTATTTGAACCATAGCTCCACTTCTATTTCTTTTGGTAGCTAATTGGAGATAAGAGTCTCATAGACTTTCCTGCCCATGCTGGCTTAGATTCAGATCTCAGCCTGAGTAGCTAGGATTACAGATGTGAGCCTCTATACCAGCTAAAATTGGCATTCATTATTTTGGAGGTGTGTATTTTTGTTATTGTGAAGGTGATGTACAGAGAGGTTATAGTATATAAGTTTAACTTTTTTTTTTTTTGCCAGTCCTGGGGCTTGAACTCAGGACTTTGGCGCTGTCCCTGATCTTCTTTTGCTCAATTCTACCACTCTACCACTTGAGCCACAGCTCCACTTCTGGCCTTTTCTGTTTATGTGGTACTGAGGAATTGAACCCAGGGCTTCATGCATCCGAGGCAAGCACTCTACCACTAAGCCACATTCCCAGCCCCAGTTTAACATTTCTGTTTGAACAGTGTCAATTCTTTCCTCATTTTCTCCCAGTTAAAATTGACATTCTTAAAACATCAAATGTTCTCAAAGAACATTAGTGCTTTTACCAAGATTTAGTAGATTTTCTTGAATAAAAGTTTTTCCTTTGTTTATGTCCTTCAGCAATTCCCAGACTATAAATGGTAGTTATTGGATTTTTTTGGTTTGGGTTTTTTTTTTGTTTGTTTTTGATGCTGAGCCTGGGGTTTGAACTCAGAGCCTGCGCACTGTCCTTGAGCTTGTTGTGCGCATGTCTAGTGTTCTACCACTTTGAGTCACAGCACCATCTCCAATAGTTAATTGGAGGCAAGAGTCTCCGGGGCTTTCCTGCCAGGGCTGGTATTGAACTGCAATTATCATATCTCAGCCTCCTGAGTAACTAGGGTTATAGGCATGAGCCACCATCACCCAGCTAGATTTTATTTGTTTTTTGTTGTTGTTATTATAAAGGTGATGTACACTGGGGTTACAGTTACATAGTCAGGTATGAGTACATTTCTTTTTGGACTGTGTCACTCCTTGCTCTTTGTTTTTCCCTCCCATCCCCTCCAACAAGTTGTACAATTCATTTTCAACATAGTGTCTTGTGAGTACTACTGCTACATTTGTTCAGCCTTGGTCACTCTATTAGGATTTTTTTTTGTTTTGTTGGTTGTGGAGCTTGAACTCTGGGCCTGGGCTCTGTCCCTCAGCTCTTCAGCTCAAGGCTAGTGCTCTACCACTTGAGCCACAGCACCACTTCTAGTTTTCTGGTGGTTTATTGGAGATAAGCGTCTCATGGACTTTCCTGCCTGGGCTGGCTTTGAACTGTGATCCTCATATCTCAAGTTTCCTGAGTAGCTAGGATTACAGGTATGAACCACCAGTGCCCAGCAGATTTTGTGTGTGTGTGTGTGTGTGTGTGTGTGTGTGTGTGTGTGTGTGTGTGTTGTTCTTTTTTTTTTAATGCCAGTCCTGGGACTTGAACTCATGGCCTGGGCACTGTCCCTGAGCTTCTTTTGCTCAAGGCTACCACTCTACCACTTTAGCCATTTGGGTTTTTTCTGTTTATGTAGAACCTAGGAATCAAACCTAGTGCTTCATGCTAGGCAAGCACTGTACCACTAAGTCACATTCCCAGCCATGTGTGTTGTTCTTCTGGGTTTATTTGTTTGAGTTTGTTTGTTTTTTAAAACTGGGTCTCACATTGTAGGCAGTCTAGCCTTAAACTTCTCTTTCTCCCACAGCAGCCTCCCAGTTTTATCTGTTGTCTGTTGAGATGTCCTCTGTCTTCCTGTGAATCTCCTCTTAACACACAGGTGTGAATAGATATGCTTGGGTTCAGGCTAATTGAATGCTTGGGTTCAAGCTAATCAAGTTTGGTTTGTTATGGTTTGATCTGGTCTGGGCTAAGCACAGCTATGTCTTATTTTTGTTTTGTTTTTGTTTATTTTTGTCAGTCATGGTGCCTGAACTCTGGGCCTGGGCGCTGTCCCTCAGCTCTTCAGCTCAAGGTTAGAGCTCTACCACTTGAGCCACAGCACCACTTCCAGCTTTTTCTGTTTATGTGATGCTGAGGAATCGAACCCAGGGCCTCATGCATGCAAGGCAAGCACTCTACCACTGAGCCACCTTCCCAGTCCCAAGCACAGCTATGTCTTAACAGGAAGGACTTTATTGTGATGTTAGCAGCTATTGATAACCAGATCATTAATTCAGTAGATTTTGCAAAGAGTAGTGTTTGAATTCTGTAATTCTTTTTTGTTAGTTAGCCAATGTATTAGCCCATTTGTGCTGCTATAACAAAATTCCACAGACTGGGAAATGTATAAAGAACAGAAATTCATTTCTTAGTTTTGCCAATTGGTGCTGGCATCTGGTGAGGGCTGCCCCCCTCTGAAGTGGTGCCTTGATTGTTGTGTCCTCCAGAAAAGGGGAGTGGCTGAGGAAGAGGGACAAGAAGACAGACCAGACTCTCTGTCCCACCCTTTATAGCAGCTTTACACACTTGCCAAGAGACTACCTCACACCGTTGGCGCTTGGTGCTTAAATTCCATCTCATGAATATTTTAAGTCAAACCAGAGCACAATAATTCTGTAAAGAAAATGCCTCCGTGTGCTTTTAGGTTTCCTAGTGGCACTATTTATATAGGAGATAATTGATAAATGATGGATTGTTCTTCCCACTTAATCTACCAGTTTCAAAACATAGACTATTGTTTCCAATTATGACCAAATAAGGATCTTCTTCTTATGTAATACTGTGAAGTCATAGACTTAATCATATTGATTCATGTCCATTCACTGTAGAAACTTTTTAATATCCAAAGTGCCACATCTGTTGCTGAGTATATCCTCATATCACCATCTCTTGAATCCTTTAAAGCAAAACAGAGTGGTCTGTACTGGCTCTGCTGTTTTCTGGCAACACAGAATTCATGGCTATGTGGCCTCCTACCTTTTTTATTTATTTATTTTTTTTTGGGGGGGGGTCAGTCGTGGGGCCTGAACTCTGGGCCTGGACGCTGTCCCTCAGCTCAAGGCTAGCGCTCTACCACTTGAGCCACAGCACCAATTCAAGCTTTTTCTGCTTATGTGGTGCTGAGGAATTGAACCCAGGGCCTCATGCATGCAAGGCAAGCGCTCTACCACTGAGCCACCTTCCCAGCCCCGCCTTCTTCCTTCTTGGGGTTTGACCAGCTTCGCCAAGGTAGCCGGGAGTAGTGTTTGAGAACCACTATCTCAAAAGGAGGTGTATATACTAATCTTGGACCTTTAGGGTTAGGTCCAAGATTCTTAAGATGATCTTGAGTTTGTGTTGACACTTCTAGCTCACATTCATGACTATAAAATCAACTCTAGATCTCATGGCTATACTTACTTCCTCCTAAGCCTGTAGATTTGGTAGAGTTAGTGCATCACACATGAGATGCTTGTATGATCACACAGTAGACATGCGGCAGTATCAGACTTGTCCCTCTTATGCCTGCACCCACCTAGCTGAGTATAGCCTCACTCTGCTCTACTGGGAGAAGCACCTGCTACTTCTGAAGCAACTGAGAGAACCTGGGCCAGGTTTCTCAGGTCTACATGAATGCCAGAAAGGAGAGCTTAGCACGTTCTGAGTCCAGAAGATCCACCCTCATTTTTGTTCACAGTTAACAGTAGGTATCATCTCGCAGTGACCATCCCTAGGCTTCTGCTGGGCTACTTGCCACCTCCATGCCCAACCTTTCTCAGCAGTCACTCTGTTCATAATCATTTGCCTTACTTGCCCTCCGTATACTATAAGCCACTGAAAGGAATGGGACACTCACCAAATCTGTCGACACTAAGAAGTTGATATATTGTTTCTGTGTGAATCTACCTCAAATGGTTTGAAGAGATGGGTATTTTGACCTGTATTAGCTATAGAGGCTCATTTCAAGAATAACTACCATCTCCTACCTTCAAGAAGCCTTTTTTTTTTTTTTTGTAAAATATCTTCTTTTTTCTAGGGGATATCCGACACACAAAGCACGTCCAGCAGACTGACTTGGCTGCAACACTAGCAATAGGACTTGGCTTGCCAATTCCCAAAGACAGTGTAGGAAGCCTTTTATTTCCAGTTGTAGAAGGAAAACCAATGAGAGAACAGCTGAGATTTTTACACTTAAACACAGTACAGCTTAGCAAGCTGTTGCAAGAGAATGTACCATCCTATGAGAAAGGTAAGCCAATGAATCCAGCTTGTATTAGAATTGCATGTCTCATTGTAGTTCACATTTTCTGGATGTGTTCTGTGGTATGCAGTTTGTCATGGTACTGTATTGCAGTCATTATTCTTCAGTTTTATATATATATATTGTGTTTCTGGTTTCTTAGACCCTTAACTGTCACCATTAGCAATACCACAGATGCAGTTAACTACATGAAATCTTTCATAAGTGTATGCTGTCAATAAATACTCTTCTTTAGGACCCAGGGACTATTAAAAGCATTGGAAATAAATTCATCAAGAGGTACAGTATCTCTGTCTGAGATCCTCCAGAGGGAAAAGAAAAAAAATAGTAATAGATGCCAAATGGTAAGAAAGACCCTAGGAAATTATCAGACAGAAAAGAGAGGAGATTGCAGGTAGATTGGGTGTGTTGCAGGCTGAGAGTCAAAGAGACACAGGGCCTTGCAGTAATGAGTGGCTAGGGGAAGGTACAGGAAATGGTAGGGATGTATAGGGGCCTTCTAATTGCCAGAGGGGTTTTCAGTTTTGTCCCAGGTGAAGTGTAGGGAACACTGCAGAGTTTTCTGCATTCTCAAAGGCTCTCTCAGATTCCCTTGGAGAGTTCTTCCCTATGCTGTAACAGGAGACTGGTTGGCCTAGTGCTCTAGTGAGGGCCCTGTACACCAGAGGAGCCCCAAAATAATTGTATTGTGGATATGTTTGAAATAGCAAAACAGGATTTGCTGGCACACCAGAGTCTTAAGTCATAGGAAGACCTGCAGCCTAAGGAACAATTCTAGAGTTTCAGCCAAACAGTGAAAGAGTAGATGACCATGCACTAAGGTAGGTAAGACCAGAACAGGAGCAGAAGAAGGTTTTCAGGGCAAGGCAAGGTAGTAGCCTGACAAGGACTCCGGAGACCATGCAGAAAAAAAAAAATTTCAATAAGGAGGGAGTAAAGAGCTGTGCTGAATACTAGCAAAATAAAGTGAGAAATTGAGAACTCCCTGAGAGAGCTCTCTGCTGAGTCTGGTAATGTGCAGCTCACACAGCGTGTCAGGAGAAAGCCCAGTTGGGATGGGCATAGGTGAGGGTATTAGAGAGAACGGGGAGATGGAGGGCCAGGAGCAGATATTTTATCTTTTAGCTAGCAATACTGTTAGGTGTTTATCTGCTAATAAGAATATTCCCTCGAGGGGAGTGTGCCTCCTTGTGAGCCTCTGTAGGTCATTCAGACTGTGGACTCCATATACCAATTAAACACATTTGCCCTGAATCTAAAGGAAGCACTGCTTGCTTAAGGCAACATTTAATCGGATCCAGCAGGCTGTGGGAGATGACAGCCAGAAGGGCAAGCACCATGAGTGTCACATGACAGCTGTAGACTGTAGGCTGGGAGCATGTGTGATAAGGGACAAGCGGACTTGGTGCTTAGCCAAGGACCCAGATGAGGCCTGGCCAGTGCATACTTCAGTCTAGACTAGGCACAGATGTTACTTTCGCTTTTTTTCTTTTTTGGGGGGG